CCATTGTCTAGTTCTATGAACCAGCTTGCTTGCATGTGGTGTTGTACTTTAAAATACCAGATATCCTTGACCAACGAAGGTCTGGCATGCATACATCGGAAATAGCCAGGATCTCTGGTGTGAATCAAAATAAAATTGGACGTATCCTTCGATTGCTTGCCAGTAAGCACTGCTTTACAGAGAGTAAGTCGTGTTACTTCCTTTGGCCGTTTAACTTCACGAACTTTTCTCTCAAGTATCACGCGATGTATTTGCAAATAACAGATTAAGCGTCTTGCTGCGATCCACCGATCCGTTTTACAGCCTTGCGCTTGATTAGTACGTTTCCTTCTTTCAATCGAATAACCCATCCCAACAAAACTCAATCAGTGTAGGCGATAATTTCAAATGGTCTACTGAGCTTGCAGAAACGCTCGCTGACCCCGCCATGTGTCATTCCACCGCGCCCGAACACTCTGCGTTTAATAAATATACAGGTTATTCATGTTCATTTTTTGATTATCTATCTGGAGTACGTGTATTTTGTGCTTTGCTTCCGAATACGATTTAAGCATTGTACGCACAGGCTGCTCCTGGTGGTTTAGAGTATGGTTCTCGCTTAGGGAGGGCAATGGTCGCTTGGGGTACTGCAACGGAAGTTGGAGCAATCGTGAATGGTAATTATTATAAGCCTTTCGATTGAGATCCGTTGTGGTAACATCGAAAGCTTTTTCACAGGTTTTCCGTGGCGTGATCTTCCCGAGGGTGCCTCTGTGTGCGATGTTGGTGGAGGCGTGGGCGCCGTGACTATCCCGCTTGCAAAAGCCTTTCCCAAACTACTGTATAAACTCCAAGATACGCCAGACCGGATTCAGCAGGCAAAAACGGAAGTCTGGCCTCAGAAATGTCCAGAGGCTTTGTCGGATAACAGGATTGAGTTCAAGGCCATGAATTTTCTAATCGAACCTCCGATCTCGGGTTGCGATGTGTACTATGTTGAGTTACTCCTCGGTGTCTCATTCTGACAACATTTTGATATGTACATTCGCCAGCTCAAAAATGTCATGTATGTTGCCACGACCCTCATCGGTAATGATGCCTCTGATGAAAAATTTGCAGTCATGATTGGCAAGACGATGCTAGCATTAAGATCCTGCAAAACGTTCGCAAGGCGATGGGATCTCATAGCCGCGTTCTAATTCGTACGTCTCTCTCTTTTTTGAAAAGTCATAGGATCTGCTAATCATCACTACTTATGCTGCAGAGGAATATATACTTCAGCCTCCCTGTCCGCCTTCTGGAGAAGACATGAGTCACCCTCCAGCACCATTGCCTCTGTTGCCTAATTATGGGGTAGGCAGGGTACGACAACATAACCTAGACATGGACATGATGACCGGATTGAACAGCCAAGAACGCACCCTCGGAGATTTCATACGACTCGCAGAAGCAGCAGGTTTATCTTTTGTGAAGTTGCGGAGCGTTGGGGAAATGGGTATCGTAGAACTGTCGAAGATGGATGAGTCGCTGTAGTTATATCTAATCTGACTCGAATAGAATACGGTGTCGCAATAATATGCGATTGGATGCGAAATTATCCGGAAGACCATTGACAATAACTAACCAAAAATATTGGATTTGGCCTAATGCAGACTACTTATGTGGAGTGCTCGTTCCGCATATTTGGAGGTGGCTTCGGAGATGTAGGCGAGGAAGACGAGAGATAACTTCAATGAAAAAAAAAAAAAAACACGAAAGAGCAAGAACACATGGACGTATTTCCCCCTAGCCGACTTGAACGACTGACCTCGTCATAGCCAATACTAGTGACGCGCTCTACCACTGAGCTAAGGGGGACTGCGATTAGCAAGCATTCTCACAAGAGATGTGGGAACTCTGTCTGGGTTGTGAAGTGCGACCACCATTCAAACAAGTATGTTCATCCAAAACGCCTGTACAAGTCCTCACAAAGTGGATAATCATTACGTTCAAACGACTCGACAGACAGAAATGAGAGAGAGGAAGCATAAAAAACCCATTTCCCTTCGGTTCACTAATCAAACAAGCTCCCGAACCTTCACGTCTGGATCTCCTTCTTTTTGGACGGGGTACCCAGAATAAAGTTGCCTTGGAAACCTGGTCGAATAAGCTGTATAAGGCTGGTGCGGTCCCGGTTTCTAGTAGAGCCAGATATCATCAATGGGAGCTCCGTCGCAGAACCGAATGTCGCACTCACGGGGGAGTACCCAGGGAAAGGGTACGCGCCATGCTCGCTGAAGGCAGGATTTACAGGAGCCGTCTGCGGCGTCTTGTTGCCAGGTTTGACGCTGAACCGACCCTGGTAACGATTCTGTGGATCGGGCGTCCGCGGGAAATGGACGTGAGGGCTCTTTGCAGAAATCGCAGCAGGAGATCGACTAGGGAAACCGTACGTCCTAGGATCGGACGAAAGGCCATCAGCGCCTGGGGTATGCAAATATCCTGCGGGTGTTTCTGGGAATGAGGTCGGGGGGTTTGTGTCTGATGTTTTCGGGATGTAAGCGGAGGGGGGAAGGGGGTAAGCTGCGGGGGAACGAGAGTCGAAGCTTGTTATATACGTCGTCGGAGGCCCTTCAATCTGAGACGGCTCGATCTGGTAGACGGCTGCAATGGCCTCTTGATGTTCTTGCTGCCTGGTTCTTCGATGGCGCATTCCAACACAGAAGCATACCGATATCATGGCAATTAACACTGAGCAAGGAGTTAGTGATGTGTTTCAGTATCTGTAGGAATAAAAGCAAAACACACAGATAGACCCACCGACGCCGATAGCAATACGAGCACCAAGAGGTATGCTTTGGGTACATTGCCAAAAGCCATCTCTGAAAAGCTCAATGAGAAAAACTGGTTTTTGGAGGGATTTTCTATGGTTATCACTCACATAGTGGTATAACAAACCTGATCAGCCGCGACTCCGGGAATTGCCCCGAAGCCCCATACCAGTACAATTACTCCACCTACAACTCGAAGATCTTAACGAGCAGTAGGACACGAATTTCAGCACATTGGCAAAACAACAATAAAGTAACTCACTTGAGGCCGAATTCTGTGTCATCGTTTGAACTGAATGAAATCCAAAAAAGATCAACTTTTCGAAATATTCTTTGGTAACGGATGTGGATAACCGGATTGAAGAACCCGCGCAGCAGGACTTCTTGTGAGGACAGAGTGGTTAGGACGGGGGGTGAGATCAACTCGCAACAAATTCATCACAGTCTGCTGTTGCATTTATCGTGGAGATAGGTCCCTTGATGATGATCAAATTTCTTCAAACACCATCAATATCGCGATGGCATCAGTAAGGCTGTGTGCAAGTAACCTCCCACTACAGGGACCTTGAATAGCCATGGAACGCCGAGTTGCTTGTGAAGATGTTCGATATAAAGAAGAATGATAAGGGGGAGGAAGGCAGGAAGGATAGGCTCATGCCAATGTCATGATCATTTGTCGCTACCTTGCACATTTGCTACACATGTGTTGTTCACAAGTAATCTACTACCTAGATTATACATCGTTGTCGCATTCGACATTACCAGGCACCCACCTAGGTCCATCGCTGAACTACAACGCTGTTAACAAGTCCTGCGCCTTCTATGGTGGCATCCAAATCTTCTAAAATGCGATTCGGGAACGTTGTGCCGATTGTATACGATCGAGTCAAGTTTTCTGGCCTTGCGCTACAGTTCACGAGTTCTGTTAGATTCAAGACACGGGATATGACGGAGAGATGCACTGACGCGTTGATAAAATTCCTCAAGTCTCTCACTTTGTGCGTCAGATTCATTCGGCAAACAATTCTGAAAGATCAGGTGAGGAAAATTGTTCTATCAAACCCTCTGTGCAACATACCGTGTCCCATCCGCCAATCGTATCTGCACACTGGTAGTCGGCAATGTCTGATCGACCTCAAATCGAGTATTGATACTCTGGCGTTCAGAAGTTGGAATCGGCGCAGAAGGTGTCGACGTAGGGAACTGGCCAGGCATCGAAGTCGAACTAGGTCCGGAGAACTCTGGTACCGGTGCACCTAGCCGATTACCAGCTCCACTGAATGCGGCGCCACCTTGGGGTGGTACGTAGGCCTCATGTAGCCTCTGAGCGATACGGATATCGACAGGCTGGCCAACACGAAGGTTGAGCAGCTCAGGTGGGGCTTGGCTGCGAGGGCGTCAGAGAAGGGGCGTGAGATGAAAAGAAGACGGATACCCGGAACGCAATTGCGTAAGGAGTTCCGCATGCTCAGGATCATCGTATCGCATGAGTGGTCCATCTTCTACGGAAAATCCATCACTCCAAAAGGTCAGAAGACGGATAGCAGGGGTCTCATCCTCTATTGTCGCATTCTTAACATATGATACAGTCTTTGCTATAAAAACGCACCAGGTACCGCATCAGGATCTGGGATGAATGAACTTTCTACTTCATCACTGCCTAGAGTATGGCCGCCGCCACGGAAAGATGAGGATACAGGGGCATCTTCTCTGGGTCCATTTCTAATCCAATATAAGCAAGGTTTTCATTTTTTTCAAAAGCAGTATCTGGAACTTACTCAGCGGCACGACGCAACAAATCACGAACCACATTGCCGCCTGGCATGCGACGTTGTTGTTCTGGGTTTTGGATTGAGAGACCGCTGTGTGGCGAAGGTCGAATCAGCGTGTATTTTTTATCATTATAGTAAGATTTGCCTGCGTTCGCCACCTGCAAACCACGACTCCCCACCCTTGCCTTGACCATCTTCATCGTCGTCGTCGTCGTCATCATGTGCCGCAGGGCGCCCAAAACTAGGGCCGCTACTGCTAGACTGCGAGTTTAAACCCCCGATTGTTCCAAATCTGAAACCACTGCGAGCATTGTTGCCTCCGCTGGAACTGATTTGGATGGTAGGGTAGTCAGTGATTGCTATCCTTTCCACCACCCTGAATTTGGTTCACGTACCCAGACCAGTCACCGATGCGGCCTAGTCGAGGAGCCTGTGTGGGCCTTGACCAAGTGGAAGGGAGAGGTTCAGATGGGCCACCGCCTAAAGAGCGACCTCCTTGGTTATCGTTGTCCGCCATCTTGATCAACGAGTAAATGACGCGTGTTCACACTTATCAATGAATTGTTATGTTTGAAGGTCGGATCCAAACAAATCATCACCCAAGCTATTTTGATTTTGATTTAACAATTTCATGTATGTAAAATCACACCGCGATGTTATGACTTTGGGGGGGAAAAATTTACATTCTTAAATTATTTAATTCAGAATATAAATAAAAACTTCTAAAACCATATCCGAAAAGAAAAGTTTGAACATACCTGAAATGTATTCCAAAATCAATAGATTGAGAATAGAATTTGGATAGGCTGAAACTATTGTTTTCAGAACAGATTTCCGTTGCCACGCAACAATTACTTTCAGCAGACCGCAAAGTTATGAATTAGGTAAAATCAATTTATATTCTTAAATATTTGTTTTCCGGATATACTTTCAGATTGCACGAAATCAATCCCGATTTTGATTCTGAAAGTCTTCCGAAAAAAATCCGATTGGATAACAAAAAATTTCAGGATCAACCAAACAATTAATTTCGTACAAAATAATAAGTCAATCCGAGAACAAATATTTAAGAATATAAATCAATTTTCCCTAATTCATAAGTTTGCGGTTTGCTGAAAGTAATTGTTGCGTGGCAACGGAAATCTGTTCTGAAAACAATAGTTTCAGCCTATCCAAGTTCCATTCTCAATCTATGAATTTTGGAATACAATTCAGGTATGTTCAAACTTTTATTTTTGGATATGTTTTCAGAAGTATTTGTTTCTATTCCAAAATAAATGATATAAGAATGTAAATTTTTATTCCCTAAAGGTATAACATTGCGGTGTGAATCTTCTGCTTCCGAGTTCTGGGCGTGTCCTGACATCTGCTAAGCTGTATGGAGAAAAGCGATCCCTTATTAAACTGTGACTGATATGCACACTGCTCCAAGCTCGAGGCTGTCAGTGCCGCAAGGTAACCGGTAAGGTCCTGCGGATTCAGATAGTGATGGTCACGGGTAACCCACGGGTGTCCCGAGGCTTACCCGTACCCATACCCGCGCAAAACCCATACCCTCGGCCATGGGTATGGGTTACCCGCTGGACGGGTAACGGGTTGTGACAGTCACGGGTGACATAACAATCAATCGTGACTCTACGTTGCTCCTACCTTCATTTTCCCAGTTTTCCTAAGAGATAACTTACAAATGTATGTATAAAAGTATTTATCAGGCATTTGTCGAGTGATATGCATTCAAATTTTAACTAATTGACAAAAAAATCAAATGCCAATAAATTGAAATTGCTCTGATCCAACGTCGGTGATCTCCGAAATATCACGTTACCTGAACAATTTGGCTGGTGAATGTCTTAGTCTAGTGCTTTGCATGGTGCATCGTTTGTTTTATTATACCAGATGTATACAACAATGTTACGGCACCATCTGTAATTCCATCCATGGAATTTTCTTCACTCATTTATCGGCAACTTACCACGGAAATTTACCCGCCAAACCCGCGCCACGGGTACGGGTTTTATGCGGGTCACCAAAAGTGTACCCGCGACCCATACCCTTCATACCCATACCCGCGACCCGCGGCGGGTCACCCAACCGGTGTCCATCACTAGATTCAGAGGTTGTTGCCACTAACACTAGTACTGCCATCGGGGCCCTCGATCGCCCTACCGAGCTTTAAGCTTTAAG